CGTACGTAGGTAAAGGTAAAAATGTTGCAATAGTGATCCAATATTTTCCGGATAAAAACAAACCCTTTGAACCAAATGATTATACAACTGATTACATATATACCACTAGCAGAAATTATGAAAGATTAATAAATAAAAAGTACTTATCATATATTTTATTACACAAATAAAGCGTATTAGAATAAGGCTGATGAATGCCTTATCTCTCTACCCGATTAAGAAAGCTATAGCTAGTGATTGCATAATTGGACAACACTTTGTTTCTAAGTGATATTTATTAATGTAAAATAACTGATTTAGGGAAAAAAATAAGAAGAAAATAAATATACTCACTGAGCAAAGAAATTATTGTTAGTAATATGGCAAAGTGACGATGGCGTGATCCATCTAAAGGAATGATCGAAGGCCAGATACTTAACAATGTGTAATATTTTCTTATGTTTTTTTTTTCTTTGTTAAGTGTGTTTAATCTTTTGTATGTTCCTAGTGGTGGATGGTAAATCACTGTTTACGTGATTTCATTATTATTTTTACCATTAAAACTATTCAAATTTTTTTTACGTTTTCAAAAGTAATTCCAAATATATAGAATATGTTAAAAATAAAACGTCATTATTCTACTAAAACTAGTTTTTCAACATTTTATTACCCCACGAAAGCTTTATATAGTTTAGTTCGTACTGCTATTCGATCATTCAACTAATTTGCTATTTGAATATTCAGTTGACATACTAGTCAAAACATTCAATTTCTTCTTAGGATTCTAAAGACTTACAAAATTATGTAAAACCATGATCTTATTAAGGTTGTTTGTAGTTTAACAAGTTTATAGTTATAAAAATAGGATTTTAGGAAATAATTCTTAATGTAATTATTTCAATATATACATTAAACTAGACTGAAATATTTTAAAATCATAATTCTCAATTCATTAATACCAAATTATAAGTAAAAAAAAAATTCGTGAATCTGAACACAAACAGAGATGATGTGATGATTACAAATTTGTTTTTTTTAATTAGTACATAAATATGATAGACATGAATGTTATAAAGAGCCAGAAGTAAGTGGACATGTTTTGTTCATTTCGTATAAACTACAAATTAAGAAGCTAAGGCCTCAATTTTCCGGTCCTACAAAAATCTAGATCCATATAAATCGTTAAAGTTCTACCGAAATCATATTGAATTGAACGGTTAAACCAATCATAACATATCTATTGACAATGCGATATATGATATGTGTGGGTGGAGTTATTCATATGGTAAACTAGTGGAGTTCCAAAGAAAAGATAATATCACACACTAGGACTAGAGACATAGCTAGTCTGCATAATTAACGGTGGCAAGGTTTCAGGATGTCGCTATAGAAGAATAAATAATCTTACCTCTTAAACTAACCAACAAAAAAAACAAATGAATATTAATTTTCCTAAAGTTATTAAAAATAAAGTAGCATTATTTTATTGTTGATAAAAAAAAATTAATTTATTGTTGATAAAAAAAAATATTTTTAATTATTGATGTAATATTATTGATGGCGTGCGTATAAGAGCACCTCCAACAAAGGGTTCTCTATTGGTTCTATGA